AAACATAATGATTATGGCTCTATCAGGCACTTGGAGAGAAAAGAGCAAGAAATTCTGCATTTGCATGTTTATTCCAAAAACATACAAAACAAGTAACTTCTGAAATCAAAGATCAGAGACAGTATGTTTCCACTCTTAGAACCTAACATCTTCTTATATATCCTCTTCCTGGCTCAGTGAATCACACATTCTTTTTCTGGATCATAACACAGTTTCAGTCAGAAGAACTGAAGACAACACATAGCTTGGCAACTGGGATATTTGCCCAGAAAGTGGAAGATGTAGGTTGATGCCTCTAGGCAAAAAAGAAATCTGAAGCAGGGTCTACCACATTCATGAACGAATACTTTAATTAATCATCTTTGAAAAGCAACAGCATTTCCTCTTCCAATTGTCACCTAAAGCCCTGGCTGTATTTAATACAAGCTTAATAGAAGACTGATTCTGCAGCACATCTTGGGCATGATTGGAGAATCTCCTACCTGACCAAGCTCCCTGGGAGATGATGGCAAAATAATATCAARCAAGCATAACAACACCAGAAAAGCATAAGACAGGCTTACTCTTGTAAGCCTGCATCATGCTACTCATTTCACACAAGTGGAAAAATAATCAGATACCCTAAGAACTTAAAAGGTATTGGCAATACAGCATTCAGTGCTAGGGTACCTTCAGAGCTTGACAATAACAGACCGAGTTTTCAGGACTACAGTCTTGACCCCAAGCACTAAGAACAGTTCTGATAAAGTATTTCTATGACGTTACTTATTGATAATAGTTAGGGGAAAGGGGGATCAGAATCAGCGATATAACCTCCCATCAAGACTGCATCGAGCACTTCCAYGTCTTCCCAAACTCTTTACTGAGAAATAATTAACAACAAACCATAGAATACTTCTGCGTGGATTATCCACTTSTGAGTGGATAATACATTAAAAATAGGAACACTTGTCAATTCCAGTACAAGTTAGCTATCTACCTAGAGTTCATCTTTTTATGTAATGCAGGCTAGCAAGCTGCACAGGGTTAAAAAACCATCCCTTATAACCAATGCACACATCTGACATCTACAGGTCTGCCTATTCACCATCTTCCCCCAATATATTACTTCTTGATTTGATCTACATATTCGATTTGCAGCATCCATGCTCTGAACTGAACCCCACAGATACATCCAAGCATGGGGTTGCTTTGGCAGATTATTTAAATAAACCTACTAGAAAACACAGAGATAAGAGACAACAGAATAATCAGAAAACAATCTAAGCTAATTATTTTAAATTCATGTGYAAGTTTTATCAGCTATCTCCATAGCATCACCACATGCAAGACATTGCAATTTCAATGTTATTCTCCTGTTCCTGAAAGAGCTTTCAACATTTGCTCTGTAAAATGCAGTGATTCTTTGGATGAAGCATCACTCTGCCAGCTTTACAAGGACAATATTGCTGATCAGTATACTACACAAAGAACTAAGTATAGTACCTCCCCAATAATAAAAAACTAACTGAGCAACAATTTGGGCATAACACACCCTTAATTTTGCATATACTATTTAATTCCCTGTTTTATATTACCGATTTAATAATGTAAATGCTCTGGTTTTACAGTCAATTTCAGATTCATAAAAATATGTGAAAAGGCATTTCAAGAGCACTGTCTCCAGGCATACTGAAATTACTTGACAAACGGCAGTTGGAAAGGATCTTTGCTTCTACTCTCTGCAGCCACTCTAAATAGCATAGGACCTTTGTATCGCAATTCACAAACTGYTTTTTTTCTGTTATCCATCTATTCTGTCCTACAATACAATGGAGAACGTATTTTTTATGAATTACATTTCACTTGTAGTGCATCTGCACGTTGAGGTAGAGGCAAGACACTGAAGAAATCACCAGATGCAAGGGTTCTGCAGCATCCTACAAAAAAAACCCCCACCAACAATGGAAGATGTTGTTGATAAGTACCCAAGCACCCCCACAGACTCATCTGCAATCGGGAATTTGTCAAGAAAGGCAAATATAGAAGCGATGCACTTAAATCTGACAAGTAACTCTAACTTGGTAGCCCAGTTAAATCAATTTAACCACGATTTAAGCGGGCAGCCCGGAGACAAAATGAACATCCCAGGGAGTGGGAGACAGCGCGCTCCAGCCGCCAGGAGACGGAATGCGCAYCTACCCCTTCCCAGCCGTCTCCTCCTCCTCCCGCCTTTAGTCCTGACTAACGGGGCACAGGCGGGAGACAAAGGGGACGCGAGGAACCCCCTGCGGCCCGGCGGTGCCAGAGTGCCGGAAATCTCACAGTCCCCGCGGCCCCGGCGGGAAAGCCTTTCCTCCTCCCTCCCCGCAGGCCGCTCCACCGGGAAACCCCGGCCCGAAGCCGCGCACGTGGGTCGGCGTGGAAGGCGGGGGGCGGAAGGTGGCGGAGGGAAGAGGCGGCTCCGCCGGGTCGGGCCTCCCGGGCGCCTCCTCCCGCCGCTGAGAGGAGCGCCGGGGCACAAGAGGGGTACGAAGGGAACGGGTTCACGGTGCTGACCCGCGACATTACCTGCTGCTTGCCCCTCGCGTAGGGCGGCTTCGCGGCTCCCAGGTGGTGCCGACGGGTCCGGATCTTGCCGCCGCCGCCGC